GTGTGTGTGTGTGTGTGTGTTGTGTGTGTGTTGTGTGTGTGTGTGTGTGTTACCTGGTTGTAGGTTTGTGTTTTCTTGAGTCCATAAGGATGAAAATCCACCTGAGAAACATGAACCCCCCTCTGTAACCTGCAGGGTCAGAGGGTCAGAGGGTCAGAGGAGGGTCAGAGGAGGATCAGAAGGTCAGAGGAGGGTCAGAGGGGGTCAGAGGGTCAGAGGAGGGTCAGAGGAGAGGTCAGAGGGTCAGAGGGTAAGAGGTCAGTCAGAGGGTCAGGGTCAGGGTCAGAGGGGGTCACGTCAAAGGTCAGCGGAGGGTCAGAGGAGGTCAGAAGGTCAGCGGAGGGTCAGAGGAGGGTCAGAGGAGGGTCAGAGGGTCAGAGGTCAGAGGGTCAGAGGGGAGGTCAGAGTCAGAGGAGGGTCAGAGGGTCAGAGGTAGAGGGTCAGAGGGTCAGAGGAGGGTCAGAGGGGGTCAGAGGGTCAGAGGAGGGTCAGAGGGTCAGAGGAGGGTCAGAGGGGGTCAGAGGGTCAGAGGGGGTCAGAGGGTCAGAGGAGGGTCAGAGGAGGGTCAGAGGGGGTCAGAGGGTCAGAGGGAGTCAGAGGGTCAGAGGAGGATCAGAGGAGAGTCAGAGGAGGGTCAGAGGAGGGTCAGAGGGGGTCAGAGGGTCAGAGGAGGTCAGAGGGTCAGAGGAGGGTCAAAGGAGGGTCAGAGGAGGGTCAGAGGGTCAGCGAAGGGTCAGAGGAGGGTCAGAGGGTCAGAGGCGGGTCAGAGGAGGGTCAGAGGGGGTCAGAGGAGGGTCAGAGGGGGTCAGAGGGTCAGGGGAGGGTCAGAGGAGAGTCAGAGGAGAGTCAGAGGGTCAGAGGAGAGTCAGAGGGTCAGGGGAGAGTTAGAGGGTCAGAGGGGGTCAGAGGGTCAGAGGAGGGTCAGAGGGTGTCAGAGGGTAAGAGGGTCAGAGGGGGTCAGAGGGTCAGAGGAGGATCAGAGGGTCAGAGGAGGGTCAGAGGGTCAGAGGAGGTTCAGAGGGTCAGAGGAGGGTCAGAGGGTCAGAGGGGTCAGAGGGTCAGGGGAGGGTCAGAGGAGAGTCAGGGGAGGGTCAGAGGAGGGTCAGAGGGGGTCAGAGGGTCAGAGGGGGTCAGAGGGTCAGAGGAGGTCAGAGGGTCAGAGGAGGGTCAAAGGAGGGTCAGAGGAGGATCAGAGGGTCAGAGGAGGTTCAGAGGGGGTCAGAGGGTCAGAGGAGGTCAGAGGGTCAGAGGAGGGTCAAAGGAGGGTCAGAGGGTCAGCGAAGGGTCAGAGGGTCAGAGGCGGGTCAGAGGAGGGTCAGAGGGGGTCAGAGGAGGGTCAGAGGGGTCAGAGGAGGGTCAGAGGAGGGTCAGAGGGTCAGCGAAGGTCAGAGGAGGGTCAGAGGGTCAGAGGCGGGTCAGAGGAGGGTCAGAGGGTCAGAGGAGGTTCAGAGGGGGTCAGAGGGGGTCAGAGGGGGTCAGAGGGTCAGAGGAGAGTCAGAGGGTCAGAGGAGAGTCAGAGGGTCAGAGGAGAGTCAGAGAGAGGTCAGAGGGTCAGAGGAGAGTCAGAGGGTCAGAGGGGGTCAGAGGGTCAGAGGGGGTCAGAGGGGTCAGAGGGTCAGAGGGGTCAGAGGTCAGAGGGTCAGAGGAGGGTCAGAGGGTCGGAGGGTCAGGAGAGGTCAGAGGGTCAGAGGGTCGGAGGGTCAGAGGGTCAGAGGGGTCAGAGGGGTCAGAGGAGAGTCAGAGGGTCAGAGGGTCGGAGGGTCAGAGGGTCAGAGGGTCAGGGTCAGAGGGTCAGGGGTTAGGGAGGGTCAGAGGGTCAGAGGAGGTCAGAGGGTCAGAGGGTCAGAGGGGTCAGAGGGGTCAGAGGAGAGTCAGAGGGTCAGAGGGTCGGAGGGTCAGAGGGTCAGAGGAGGTCAGAGGGTCGGAGGGTCAGAGGGTCAGAGGAGGTCAGAGGGTCAGAGGGGTCAGAGGGTCAGAGGAGGTCAGAGGGTCAGAGGAGGTCAGAGGGTCAGAGGGGTCAGAGGGTCAGAGGAGGGTCAGAGGAGGGTCAGAGGGTCAGAGGGTCGGAGGGTCAGAGGGGTCAGAGGGTCAGAGGAGGTCAGAGGAGGGTCAGAGGGTCAGAGGAGGTCAGAGGGTCGGAGGGTCAGAGGGTCAGAGGAGGGTCAGAGGGTCAGAGTCTTACCTGACCCAACAGGCTCCTGCGATCATCAGAGCGACGGATCCTGTGACGATGAAAACGCTGCTCATGACTGAGACGACAGAGAGGAAGAGGGTGAGAGGAAGAGAACGAAGAGACGAAGGACGAAACAACCACGACGAGGACGAAGACGAGGACGAAGACGAGGACGAAGACGAGGACGAAGACGAGGACGAAGACGAGGACGAAGACGAGGACGACGGCGAAAACAAAGACATGCTCCTGACGAAAAATCAAGAAAAACTAAAACAAAAAAAACACTAAAACGACATCGAAAAACGTCGCCAAAAACCCCGAGCGAGAAACAGAAAACAGAGAAGATTTAAAATTCCAAAGACGAGGAGCAAATCCGGATCAAAAATTGGATAAACAGAAATCCAAACTATATATATAAAAAAAAAAATTATTCTAAGAAAAAACAAAACTGTGCTCTTTAAATAATAAATAAGAAAGAAAATTTTTTTTAACTTAACAAAACCAGAAAAACACCTCGAGAAAAGAACAAAAGAATTAAACTGAATATTAGAAATGGATTCTATATTTTTTAAATATACTTTTTTTTTTTTTTTTTATAATTGGCCCAAAATAAAAAATTAATTAAAAAGAAAAAAAAAAAAGGATCCCGTTTCAGTAAAAAACCCCAAAAAAGATTAAAAAATAATAATCAGAACAAGTGAAGGATGAGTCGAAAAAAAAGATTTTAAAAACTTAGAGAAAACCAGAGGAGAAGGTCTGAGGAGCAGATGGAGGAAAACATCTGATTAAAAAAAAAAGACTAGAATGAAATCAAGAACGAGAGGTTGTAAAAATCTTCCAAAAGACAAAACAAAACCAGGACTAGAATGTGGAGTCTGGTTGTTCGTCCGCGTGTGGAAGAGGAGCTGTGGACTTGGGCTCTTCGCTCGTTTCTCTGGAGGCTTCTGCTCCGGCGCCGCCTTTAAGGATCACGGGAATTCACGGTTAACGCGGCGAGACCCGGAGCCGCCGGGGGCTTCGGGAGCGCGGGAAATCGAGACTTTCCCCGACACAAAGACGTCCTTTTGTCCGGGTCACATCTTCACGGAGGATCACGACGACTCCTCGTGAACTTCTGAGACGTTCAGAGCTTCAGGCGCCGAGAGACGCTCGAACGCCACCAGAAAAACAACAACAACAACAACTAAAACTAAAACCACTCAGCAGCTCAGAGCTCGACAGCTTTTCCAGCGTGTCACAAACTTAACCAGATTCTGTTTGGTTTGGACTTGTGACTTTCTCTGAGCAAAGATTCAAGGAACGTCCGGAAAGAACAAACTCTAAATCAAATAATAATCAAATAATAATCAAATAATAAAATAATAATCAAATGAAATCATCTACTTTATACGACGGAGTAAAAGGGTCAGATAAAAAACTAAATAAATAAAAACATGCTGGCGCTACGAGAATAAAGTCGTAACATTTCAACATTAAAGTCGTAAATTTACGAGAATAAAGTCGTTATTTTATGAGAATAAAGTTGTGTCAAAATAAAGTGTTAATATCAGGAGAATCTCAGCGGCTCGTGGAGAATTTGGAGCATTTTGTAAAGGAGAAGAATCTGTGTATCATTCGTTCATTCGACTGAATCAGAACTAAACCAGGTCCAGAACCAAACCAGAAAGACCAGGACTGAGACCGGAACCAGACCAGGACTGAAAACGGTTTAGTCCTGGTTTAGTCCTGGTTTAAGTCACAGAAATGGGAAATGGCGTTTCTGTGACTTTAAAATGTGATGCAGAACTGAACCAGGACTAAACCAGGACTGAACCAGGACTGAACCAGGACTGAACCAGGACTAAACCAGGACTAAACCAGGACTAAAACCAGAGACTAAACCAGACTAAACCAGACTGAAACCAGGACTGAACCAGGACTGAACCAGGACTGAACCAGGACTGAACCAGGACTGAACCAGGACTAAACCAGGACTAAACCAGGACTAAACCAGGACTGAACCAGGACTAAACCAGGACTAAACCAGGACTGAACCAGGACTAAACCGTTTTCAGTCCTGGTTCAGTCTGGAGGCACAAATAATGAAGAAAATTGTTGTTAATTTTCTTATTTTTGGTTTTATATTGAAAAACAAGTTTCTTCTTCTGACGCATTTTTCACTTTGACTTTGATTTTATTACGACTTTATTCTCATGATATTATAACTTTATTTTAACTTCGACTTTATTCTCGTAAAATTACGACTTTAATGTCGAAATGTTAGGACGTTATTCTCGTAGCTCCAGCATGTTTTTTGTTTTTTTATCTGACCCTTAAACTCCGTCGTAACTTTAAACTGTTGATTCATTAAACTTCAGGTTTTTAAAGATTTTATAAAATGCATTTATTTCTGTCAGATTTAAAGAACACGGACACTTTTACAGAAAAACAGACACAGACCGATATATCGAACGGCCGATATTCAGATTTTACTCTCAGGTGTGTGACGCAGGAGAAACTCAGGAGAAACTCAGGAGGAACTCAGGAGGAACTCAGGAGGAACTCAGGAGGAACTCAGGAGGAACTCAGGAGGAACTCAGGAGGAAACTCAGGAGGAACTCAGGAGGAACTCAGGAGGAAACTGAGGAGGAACTGAGGAGGAACTGAGGAGGAACTCAGGAGAAACTCAGGAGAAACTCAGGAGGAAACTCAGGAGGAACTCAGGAGGAACTCAGGAGAAACTCAGGAGGAACTGAGGAGGAACTGAGGAGGAACTGAGGAGGAACTGAGGAGAAACTCAGGAGGAACTCAGGAGGAACTCAGGAGGAACTCAGGAGGAACTCAGGAG